CCCCAAAACCCCAAAACCCCTCAAGTCTAAAATGTCTTCAAAATTAAAGTTGATTTTTTAAAGTTTGACAAAAGCAATTCTAATTATTTTAATTCAATCTGTAAACCCCATATCTTTTAAAATCTTTAAAGCTTATTACATGACTAGCATAGCAACTCCATTTCTAAAGAATATGCATTGTGAACCAGCTAATATACCTCTATATACACCAAAGAATCCATGCTTTTATCTCGCATATTGTGCTCTTTCCCTCATCGAGTTACCTAAACCTTTAGCTTCAGATTGGATTTAGCTTTTTAAGAAATCAAGAGGATAAATCAGCCAGAAAGCAGTGCATGCTGCAGTTCCACTCACTATGAATTGACCAATTTTAGTTTCAAATAACTTAGTATTTCTCTAGAAAGAATCCAAAACAACAAAATATGTTGAAATCAGTCCAGCATTCTTCATACAGACTACTTGAAATCCTTTGTAAATACTCTTAAATTCCCATGCCTAGCCAGTTTATCTTTTAATCTTTGCGTACTCAAAAGGACATTCTAGTACTGATCTTACTAATCCAGCATTAAACCCCCCTAATATAACTCTTGGCTCTAAGCCAGCAGTGAATGGAATCTTAGTTGTCATAAATTAATTGTCTTTAAAGTATCCCTTAGTATAATCTACAATAGCAAATTAAGAACTCCTATAAACAATCGATCCGATTACTGGAGGAATCCACCCTCTATAAAAACCAATGAATCCCTCCTATCTATAGATCTTTTTGACAGTATCAGTATAGCCTCCTTAATTGAAATACTCTGTTTAAGCCTGCATTTTAGTTTTTATTGTATCGAATGGATGTCCTGACAGTGTATTAGCTACTCCATATAAAAATCCAGTCCCAAGCTAAACAAAAAAGTCGCGTCTTGCCTTTTTCAAATCTCGCTTACTTTAATTTTAATCCATAAATTATACAAATTTACATTCATTATTTATAATATTCAAAAAAAATTGGGGTTTTGGGGTTTTGGGGTTTTGGGG